TAACTGAGTTACTCCACAATAAAAGTAACTAGTTACTAGTAATAGTAACTATTGCGTTACTTTTGCGTTTCTCGCCCCCGTAACCCTCACCACCCAGCCCCCACCTTCTCGCAGTGTGTTTCCAAAGTCTGAAATCCTGTGTGTTTGGGTTGTTATAGCTACTGCAACATCTATCTATCCATCTATCTATACAGATCTATATAGATGTATACTCTGTGTGTGACATAAAATACAGATCTCCATCTCTGCCACAAAACCCATCAAATAATAATATAATGTTTAAAGAATCGCATTGCGAACAATGTCTCTTCAAAATCCTCTCAAGCCTAGCTTGACCTCTTGATAGCTGTCTGGAGCCTGACAAGGCTCCATAAGACTGCTTCTTCAGCCTGACAGCGTCCCTCACTCACATTGTCCACCACTATGTTTATGGGTTGCCACCAATACGGCCACAGCAGCCCCAGACGGTCACATTAACAATGGAAGCAGAGAACATAGTCCTCATATGTCCTCAGCCGTCCCTGGAATCGAGAATAAGCTCTACTGGAGGTGAAGTTCTTCTGAAGTATGATACGTCTATCACCGTTGGGAATGTCTGTCTGACAATCCAGGCAGAACCTCACTGCTCGCTTGGCCTGCCAGGTTAGTCCAGTTTCCTCCTTTTACAGCATATCCAACTCACCATCAAGGGGCAATTGGTGGACAGATCTGCTTTTCTTTAGCAAAGTATACAAGACACACAGCTGGAGGTCAAAAGATATCACTAAAAAAAAACTACACGTCAGGCCTAGGGTGTCCTGGTGCTGAGTGAACAGCCTCATGCTTAAACATAGTGTTCTTTTTGGACAAAACCTGATTTGCACAGAAGCCTAATAATGAAATACCAGCCCTCTGGTTAAGAACTTTGGCTCCATTCCTCCCAAACATGCCCCTGCAGTTGTCACTGTCATAATCGCTGCTGTTTTCCACATTGGCATTGAATTCCCCCAGTAGAATGACAAAATCACAGAGAGAGGCGCTAGCCAGAAACCCTGCCTGGGACACTAATGTGGTTTCTCAACCTGTATGTATACTTGTGCGTTCTCATGTGCTCGTGAAACGTCATCAGCCTCAGCCCTAGTACTGTTCACAAGAACAGCAGACCAAGAACCGATAAAGTCCCCTGATGTTGTTCTGGCCCCTCCCTCTTTACCCAGCATGCATCAGAGAAGACTTGTCCATGCTCCAGACTGACAGCTGTCCCAGCATGCACTGCGGCAGCAGCAGCTTCCAGGTTAGCGCTCACAGAGCTCAGAGTATTATGTTAAAAGTTATTTTCTGTTGCCATTGCTCAATAAAAGTAAGTTTTAAGATCATTTGAGGCGAGAATATTAGACTTTAAGCGTCACTACATGGTCCATTTACTGATTTAATGTGTAATTTAAAAAGAATTCCGAAGCTGAGAGGACCGCAGCAACCAGCGGACCTCCGAGGGTAATGACAGCTAGGGCTAACGTTAGCCTGTCTGCAGCGGCCGGGGCTAACATTAGCCCGTCTGCAGCGGCCGGGGCTAACGTTTGCCTGTCTGCATCAGCCCTCTCTCTGCATAGGCTTGTGTGAAGTACTGCTGGCTCTGATGGAGGTTTGATTGTTTTATTTGGCAAAATTTTCATTTGATTTGTGTTTATCTGACTGTGTTCATTATTATTCCTCCACTAAATAAAAAAGTAATAATTTATTATTATCTAGAGACTATTAATAACAGGAGGTGAAATGCAGCTCCAGACTAGCTTTGAATATGATGATGTCATCAGTACGCTGCTGTTCCAATTGACCCAGATTTATTCTGCGTGCTCCCGTGTTATGAATGTTGGCATTTGTGGTACGCCAGCATTCATAACATGTAGGCAAATCACTTTCCTCCAGACATCCGCCGTTATATTTTTTATATTTATATATTTTTTCAAACAAAGTGGAGTGTGTATGACCTAACGGAATATCTTAAGAACAGCTCAATGTTAAAAAAAAAAGGTATTTCCCTTTAACTTTACAAACGGCACCCCATAGTAGTATGTTTGAGTAACTATGAATTTTTTTTTTTTACTTGCTTGGTCCTATAGTCACTCTTTTATAGATGTAATGTAATCTCCCTGGGATTATTAAAGTATTTCTGATTCCTGGTTGATTGGACAAGTGTTGTGAATGAAACGGTGCCCAGCTTGAAAGAGCTCCTGTGTGTCGCTGAATGTGTGCATTGATGACTGAAAGACATCTTCTGCCTCCATTTATCTGTTTACTACAGTCTGTTGAATTCATGTTAATGTGATTTTAAAGACATTTCAATTAGTGGAATTAATTGCAGGAAGGAATATAAAAAAAGTCTAAACAATCAAAACATTTGCGACCCCCATGCAGTACCTCTGTGGACCCCTAGGGGTCGCAGACCCCCTGTTGAAGACCTCTGTTCTAATCCATGTAAAGCCCTTTGAATTGTCCATGTAATGAATTGTGTCATACAAATAAAATTGCCATGCCTAGGGGTTAAATGCACCACCATGGGGTTCTTCAATATGTGACAGGAGGGAACTGGAACTCCCAATTTATAGACTGTAGAATATAGACTGTAATTAATTACTCATTGAACAGGTTACATGTAAAGGAGCAAAAACTGTATAGAAGCAAACAAACTAGCAATTATTCTATGAGTTCCCCCCGTTTGAAATGTGTAAAATGTAGAGTTGTGTAATGAGGCATCCTAAGTTCCCATGTGCTGACCTGATCTCCGCCCATGTCCGTACGGACCCAGCCCGGGTGGATGGCCGTCACCAGGATCTTATGGTCCTTGAGGTCTTCAGCTTGACAGCATGTCAGCATGTTTAGTGCTGCCTGAAACAGTAGAACAGTCTTATAAACCGTCCCTCATAAGTATTCAACCCAATCGAACATTTTCACATTTTCTTACATTCTAAACAGATTTCATATTGTAATGAACAGCAGTTTCCCCACAAGGCCACTTTTAGGCTGTGGAACCCCAGGGGGCCCTAGTGAGAGATTACCTTGCTTGTTCTGTAGGGGTACATCTGCGCTGCCTGGAAAGTTTCTGAACACTTCTCCATGGAAGAGAGAAGAGTGGATATGTTGATGATGGCTGACCTTCTGCAGGACATTTCATCACCTGACATGAAACGACAGGAAAAACCTGCATGAGATCCTAAAATAATGATGACCAGGTGTTCTCCACATGCCTGTATTAGAGTTATTAACTTATGGAAGCAAATAAAAAGACTATAGCCTACCGTTGTCCTTTGTCTTTGCAGCTCTCTGAAGGAGAGGAAGAAACACCTGAGAGGATGGAAGTAACAGAGCTGGTTTTAAACTAGGTTTTCATATGTACTAAACATTAGTTCAAAACTATTTATGAGGCAGAATATAATCTCTGTTATTATTCTCGAAATAATATTTTGATAATCCTCATTGACTTAAAAAAGGAAATGTTTAGCATGATTTAATGCCAGAGCATCAAAAAGTCATAGGGAAGTGGCTGTCTAACGGTGGCATTCCCTAATTCACCCGAGTGGTGCCGAACTTTACACGAGTGAATAAAGTGAATGTGATTGGTCGTTTATCAAGATTGTTGTGGCGGAAGGTGCCCAGCAAAGTTTGGTTGGGGCCGGTTTGCCGGAAGCATCTTGCTAACCAGTTAGCATCTTAGCGCTAGTAGGTTCCCAATGGGAAATTCCATTGGGACCAAGTAGCACTAAATTGGTGACTTAAAAACGACACTGTCAAGGAACGCTATGGACAGAGG